TTACTATTACTAGATTGTTTTTCACATTTTTCTTTTACTCTAAAATATATTTATGCCTGTGTAAAATGACTCGACAAGCTCTGTCTGAAAATAAGCATGGTATTTTCATAGATATATATACATATATATTCTCACTAGTGGTGGATATTGCACAAGGCTTCAATATTTTTATAAAAAAATAAACAGTTGTGTGTGTGTGTATGAGACAGAAGAAAGATAAAAATACAGAAAGGAAGTGGAAGGTGAAAGGAAAAAAAAATGCAAGATAGCAAAAACAAGACTAAAAAAGAGCGTATCAGCAGGCTAAGACAACCGTTTATGCATGTACTCACTTAGCAATGAAATTTGTCTGAGAATTCATATATATATATATATGTATATATGATTGTTTTTGTAATTCATTAATGATACTACTTGTTTTCATGTATTTAACGTCACGGTGATACTGTTTTAATTCCTGTTTCTTTAAAAAAATTATGCAGTATTCCACTTTTTTATTTCCAGGTTATGTATAAATATTTGAATTAAAAAAAATAACTATACTCATCGTCTTCCATGAACAGTTCATACAAGCTAGACAGTTCATATTCACTGTATCGATGTTTACCGTAAGATTTCTGTAATGGTATAGGCGATCAGGGAATCCTTCGAAGTGAGGACAGGAGTAAGACAAGGCTGCCTACTATCGCCAATGATTTTCCTGATTGCAGTAGATTGGATAATGCGACAAACAGTGGGCAGTGAGAAAAAAGACATATAATGGACTCACACAAAAAACTTGGAGGATCTGGACTTCGCCGATGATATATGTCTGATTTCCCACAAACTGGAAGATATGCAAGCGAAAAGCAACAAGTTAGCAGAAGAAGCATCAAAGATAGGACTTCAGGTGAATATAGAGAAAACAGAGGTGATGAAGATTCCTGGGCAACACCACCAACAGCAACAACAACAACAGACAACAATCAGCATAAATGGGAGGAACCTGAAAGAAACAACCTCTTTTACCTACCTGGGAAGCATCGTTTCAACTACAGGCGAACGGAACTGACGAGGATATCAAAGCAAGAATCGGAAAAGCAAGACAAGCTTTCACTACTCTCAAGTCTGTGTGGAGGTCAACAACACTCAGCATCAAAAATAAGATCCGGATTTTCAACTCCAATGTGAAGTCAGTCATGCTACTATACGGATCAGAGACTTGCACTGCGCGTCATAAAGAGCATCTCAAACAAACTACAGACCTTCATTAACAGTTGTCTTCGCTCAATACTCAAGATCAGATGGCCGGCCAGAAAAATCAGCAACAGGGATCTCTGGGAGTGAACCAACCAAGCAGGAACCGATTGTGAAACAAATAGGCAGGAAGAAATGGAGATGGATTGGCCATACTCTGAGGAAACCATCAAGTGACATCACTAGACAAGCCATTGCTCAGTGGAACCCGAAAGGGAAGCGGCGAGTTGGTCGTTAGTGCAAGGGTGACTTGGAGGAGGTCATGTGAAGAGGAGATGAAAACGTGTGGGCAGACTTGGAGCCAGGTGAAGACTCTAGCAGAGAACCGAACGCAATGGAGACGCACGGCTGAAGCCCTATGTTCCTCTAGGAATTAAAGGAAACAATAATAATAATATAATAGGCGATCATAAGTGTTATAAGCTTCAGTGTTTTTTTTCATATATTATATAGATACTTTATTGCAACTCAGTGACTAGTACATCATTTGAGAATGATTTACGGAGGATAGGAAACATGGAAGTGTAAGTGTGTAATAAAACCTTGTAGACTGTCTGTGCAAAATATTGTCTAGATGGGCTTATGAACACCTACTAACATGATGATTGAAAGAAAAACTTAGAACAGTCAACAGTGTGATTCTACAGCATATTGCTACTTCTGGTTATGCAGTATTCGCAGGGAATTCATTCAGAATCATATTTACTAAGTGAGATCAGGCCGTTCAAAAGGATGTTAATTGCATCTTCACCTAGCCGAAGTCCTTGCCATACTTGAGAAAAACGTAAATATTGTGTTCCGAAAGTTTTTATCCAGCCTGTTTTACTAACATGGCCCTAATGTCTATTTTCTTTTCTTGATGTGTTGTATAATAAACTCTTTTTAGTTTTTCTTTCGTTGTGGCGCACTTTCAGTTGTTTGTGCTCTTGTCTTTTTATCAGTTATCTCCGAATAATTATTCACCACTGAATTAATTAGTTGTAGACCTTCCCGAACACATAAGATTGCACATATTAC